TGTATGTTAATCTAGCCAGGAGTTGGGCTATGTTTGAAGTGTGTTAATTGATTACCATTGTTGAGGTTTGTTGTTACTATGGGCACCGAAGACTTCAGTTTCCTCTAGTGACTTTGTTTTGTATCCTCTTTTGGTCTTCTCTTCGTATTATTCCCCAGAGACAAGCTATCTCTTAGCAGCTCTTTCAGCTGTACTCCATTGTATTACTGAAGGTTTGTTAGCATGCTGGTAGGGTGTGTAGATAGGGGTAGCATTCTCTAATGTTCTGAGTAAGTCTCACTCTTTGGAGTGCACAATATTGGGCATTCAGGAGAATTTCTGCTCCTACTTTAGGACTAGAGCTTTTCCCTACCCTTCTATTACCTTCTTTAAGTATCCACTGTACAGTCTATGACCTGAAAGCCCTTCCTGTTATGAGGTTCCTCCTCCACTTTGATGAGGTAGGGGTTGTGGTCTAGACAGAGTCCCATTCCCCCAGCTGCAGTGGTATCCCACTAGTGCCCTCAGGTGGTGCCACTTGCAGATGAAGTCTTTTGTTTCCTAAGTGAAAATGGTCTGGGTAGATTTTGCAGTGGTTGATTTTTCTGTGTGTCAGCCACTATGGTGGGAACTTATCTGGGCTCTCCTTGATCCTCTCTTTGAGAGCCTGGTGGAGTTCCTAGAACAAAGGCCTGCAAAAAGGGAGGAACCTCCCTATAACTGTGACCCCCAGGAGATTCACCTTCCTCATGCTGGCCTATCCTTGGCCTACAGCAATTCACCAAAATTTCTAGTTTAATCGTCTTACTGGCTCATATGGTATATGGTGGTTTCTCCCTCAGATAAGCAAAGGCTTGAGTCCTGTGTCTTCCTAAAGGTGCCTGTCTCTCCAGATTTGCAATGGCTTAAATTCTCTGATTGGTTCATAAAAGGTCACTAATTTGCTCTCTGTCCAGCATTCTCTTGCTGGAAGATTATAGCTTAGGTAGAACAAGAAGGATGAGAAATGAATTATTGACCAATAGGGGTTATTTTATTTCTCTCACTATACCAAACCAAAATCTTTCTATTTTAGGAAAGGTAAAATGTAGTTTCAGTCCCCAGCAATAGACAAAAAGATGTCACATAGACTAGTTTCTATTTAATAAATCAACTATTTGTAGCTGTTTCAGCTGAGATGATGCATTTACAGACTGGCTGTGTTTGAGCTTTCTTTGAGAGTAGCTTTAGATCTAAAATGCACTTAGCATTTGTCTCCTTTTGCTTCTGGCATAGATGCTCTACACAGTGTGTTTCTCCACCCAGTTTATCATATCTGATCTTATTCCTTTGACATGTCATATTCTGCACAGGTGATTCTTTACCTCCTTGTATACTTTATAGAGCCATTCACAGTAAACAACTTCCAAGGCCATGGCAGTGTTATTCCTCTGGACATCAAAAAGATAATGACATTTCTGAACCGGTGCCTGCTGTGACTTCTCAGTCGCATCCTGGGTGTGTTTGATGGAAGCCTACTTCACCTTTAGTTGGACACTTTTTTGCTCAAGTTTATCAGCAAATTGTTCAACAATGGTACCATATTTTCTAATTACACAGATAAGCAACCCTACTGTTGATAGGGTAGAGAAGGTCTCTAAGGCACTCAGGTATATTTCTTTGGATAGAAAACACAAAATAAGTATATGATAGCAGTTTTAGAATAAAGGAACTGGAAGAATTTCTCAGGAAAAAGCTCATGACTTATTTGTCTTCCTCCTCCATAGTCATGAAAAAGTGGTTCAGGATCAAGACTTGGCTATTTTCTCTGAAAGATCCTTGTTACCTGCAATTCCCCTGACCTAGATGTTCTTCATTCTTCAGAGAGGGATCCACTGTAGTGATGGCAGGAAGTGCCACCTGGGACAGCATGGTCAGTGATGGTCCAAGTGGTGACTTAGTGTCCTTTAGTGTCAGGTGCAGCAGTAACATGGCCACTCACAGGTCTCACACAATGACCTTTTAATAAAAATCTAAACTCTTAACATCTCATTGCTCATTTTTGTTAAAAGCTTACATTCTAGTAATACTTATCAGGCAATGACTTTTATGGCTGTATAAATATGCTTTTGATTGATAGACAGTTAATGAAGTTTGTGGTTGAAAAGATAAATTTATCAGAGAAGACCAGGTAAGATTTGAAGTCTTACATAATTGCTTAACAAGCATGTTTGTTCATTTAACAAGTATCTTTAGAGCATCTACTATGTGCTAGGCATTGTTCTAGGTATTAAAATAGAGCAGTGAAGAAAACAAACAAGAGCTCTGCCCTCAAAAACATACGTGCTAGCTGGGGGAAACAGGTAACACATAACAGCTGAAGAAGTAGGGAGGGAAAGGTATAATGGGGGAAGCAAGATGGGAAAGGCCTCTCTGAGGAGGATATTTGAGCTGCTGGATGCTGAGGAGGCCTCTGCAAGATCCACTTAGGGGCATGTTAAATGTGAGATGCCTATTAGACATCCAGATAAATATGTCAGACAGGCAGGTAAATATATAAGCCTGGGCATCAAAATTGCAGTAAGGACTCTGGGAGTCAAAAACATGTCAATGCTTTTGATGCTGTAGAAATGAATGAAATCAACTTGGGAGATTGGTCAGAAAAGATGCTTGATATGATTTTAATCTTCTTAAATTGATCATGCCTTGTTTTGTGGCCTAATATATGATCTATCCTGGAGAATGTTTCATGTGCACTTGAGAAAATGTGTATTCTGCTGTAATGTTCTGTATATGTCTGTTAGGTTCATCTGGTTTAACATGTAGTTTAAGTCCAATGTTTCCTATTGATTTTTCTGTCTGGATAATCTATCTGTTGGTTAAAGTGTGTTATCGAAGTTCCCTGCTGTTAATGTATTGTTGTCTATTTCTCCATTCAGTATCTCGGTATTTGCTTTCTATATTTAGGTGCTCTATGTTGAGTGCATAAATATTTACAATTGTTATAGCCTCCTGATGAGTTGACCCCTTTATCATGGTATAATAACCTTCTTTGTCTCTTGTTAAGTTTTTGGCTTAATGTCTATTTTGTCAGATATAAGTATAGCTACCCCTCTCTCTCTTAGTTTCCGTTTGCATGGAATATCTTTTTCCATCCCTTCAGTTTCAGTCTGTGTGTGTCCTTAAAGCTGAAGTATGCTCTCATAGGCAGCATACAGTTGGGTCTTGTTTTTTAAACATTCAGCCATTCTATGTTTTTGATTGGAAAATTTACATTTAAGTAATTATTGATAGGTATCATTTTGTTAACTGTTTTCTTGCTGTTTTGTAGTTCTTTGTTCTTCCCTTTCTTCCTTTGATTTGATTATTCATTTAGTGGTTATACTTTGATTCCTTTCTCTCTTTTTTTGTGGGTATCTGCTATAGGTTTATATTTTGTGATTACCATGAGGCTTACATAAAATGTCTTGTAGCTATGACAGTCTATTTTAAACTGATAACTTTGAATGCATACAAAAGCTCTATTTTTACATTCCTGCCTCTCCAGTTTATGTATTTGATGTCGTAATATACATCTTTTTATATTGCTAATCTACTAACAAATTATTATAGTTATAGTTATTTTTAACACTTTGTCATAAGTGTTATAAGTGATAGAGTTATAAGTGATTCGCTCAATACCATTTACAATATTAGAGTGTTTTGAATTTAACTATATATTTGCCTTTACCAAGAGTTTTATATTTTCATGTTACTAATTAGTATCCTTTTGTTTCAACTTGAAGAAATCCCTTTAGCATCTCTTATAAGGCTGGTCTAATGGTGATGAACTCTTTCAGCTTTTGTTTGTCTGGGAAACTCTATCCTTCAATTCTGAAGTACACCTTTGCAGGGTAGAGCATTCCTGGTTGGCAGTGTTGGTTTTTTTCCAGCACTTTGAATGTATCACTCCACTCCCTTTGGTGTTCAGGTTTTCTACTGAAAAATCCACTTGTAGTCTTAGGGGAGAGGGAAGGAGAGTGGTGCTCTTATACTCGTTTAAAAATTGCTTCTGTATTTGCTGTAGTCCTGTGGGTCTGTGAATGTACACTCCATTGACTATCAGAGCCAGGTGATCCAGGGGTCCGTCTCTCAGATGGCAGTCGCAAAAATTGGGGTGCCAGATGTGTATACAAACTTCTTCTAGAGATGCTGGCAACCTGATTTTATTGTTGGAGAAAACTGAAGAAGGAAGGTGGCGTAAGTGCCCACTGCTCCCTCAGGCTCAGGGGAAGATCATAGCCAGCCCTATATGCGTGCTAAATTAGAAGCCAGACCCTCAAGCAGCAGCTTGTAAAATATGCAGTCAAACCCTTTTCAGGGAAGGATTAGGAGATGGGCATTTTTGCCTGCTCCCTCAGGGCTGAACTGTAGGAGAATAGCCACAGTGAGATGTCATCCATCAAGTTTTGCTATAGTTTTGTACGTCTCATGGACATGAGTTCCATTGTTTTTCAGAGCTAGGTGTTTTGGGGAGCCCATCCCTTGGATTGAGGTTCCAAAAATTGGGGTTATAGCTCTGGCCAGTGTAACTCAGTTGGTTGAGCATTGCCCCATGCATTTAAGGGTTGGTGGTTCGATTTCAGTCAAGGCACATGTCCAGGTTGTGGGTTTGATTTCCGGTCAGGGTGCAGGAGGCAGCCCATCAATGTCTCTCTCTCTTTCTCTCTCTGAAGTCAATGAAAACATAGTTTTTAAAAATTGGGGTTCTAGATGTGCAGTCCAAACCCTTTGCTTCTGAGGGAGAAGCTGGGAGTTGGAAGTTCCCTCCCTATTGTATGGTGCTGTGCCAGCAATGAGTTTATGGAGAGAATGTGTCTCAGCCTTTTCTACCCGTTTCAACGTATTCCAGAAACTCAACTAGTTTATGGATTTCTTCCAAAGAGAATTGCTCTGTGTGTTGCTGTGTATTCAGTGTATCTGAAGGAAGAAGGAAATTTAGGAGCCTCCTATGTTGCCATCTTCATCCCTCGTCAGCATTTTTATTTATTTATATTTTTCAGAAAGAACTAGAGAAGCAGAAGAGAATTAAGAGGAACCAGCAGCTGGAAGCAATAGCCAAAGATCATTATGAAAGGGTGTTGCTAAGGAAAAAAGGCCTAGAGCCTTGGAAGAGATTGAGAATGCAAAGCAAGCAAAACATCCAGGTATAGTGTCACACTCTTACCCCTCAAAATTAGAAAATGGACTTTTCAAATAGGATAAACACCAAATTAAGTTTTGGGTGGTGTTTGGTGATTTAAAAGCCAGATAGATAAATGAATGAATAGATATTTGCTTTGGATAAGAGTTTAGATTTGGTCTTCCAAGATAGAGAAAGATTTCTGTAAATGAACAGGTTGAAATAAGCTAGAGTAAATTGTTATTATAGACCTCCAAGGTAAGACAAAGAGGCCTCTCTCACTATTAACAGTGTTTAATAAAGAGAAAAATAATTACCATAAGGTCTGTTAGTAAGATTTCTCCTGCAGTAAAGCTGCATAACAAACAGCCCCCAAATATCAGTGGCATATATATAATTCAAGCATTTATTTCTCACTCACATGTCTGTGGACCAGTTGTGGATTGGGGTCAGACCTCTCCACAGCCTCTCTTTCTGGCTCCAGCAGTTATTCAGGCCGTGATTTTCACCTGGCAAATGTCTGAGGTACAAAGGCCAAACCCTGTTATGTAAACCCATATGAAACCTCTGCTTATATCATGTTTACTAACATTCTTTTGGCCAAAGCAAGTCATAGGGCTAAACTAGAAGTCATTAAAGGGTGAAAGAGGCTCATCTACTCCATTGGGAGGCACTACGAAATCATACGCAAAGAATATTGGTATGTAATCCTGTTATAAGGAATAGCAGTCCACTCTGCCACACAAAGATATATGAAATCAAGTACCATTGAAGTTCAAATTTATCTAGTGTATAGATCATTCAACTAAAGGATCATGAAGCTCAAAATGCATTAAGTGTTACCTTTAGAATTCTAGTTAATAATAAGCCCAGTAATGTGTGCCAGTGTGACCACTCTTGTTTATACATTTGGCCAGGTTAATACTGAAAAATAAGACTAGTCTTTTTGGTTGTGAAAAACAGGATTAAAGATGAACAGTAATCCTTCATATCATACACTGAATTGAGTAATGCTGCAGGTGAATGTGACCTGTGAGCGTGACCTGACATAGGCTGCTTTTTATCCTGCCCAGCCTGTCTAGTCACCCTTCACTCTCTTTGTTCTCTTCCTAATTTCACACTTTCTTGTCCTTTTTATCTTCCCTACATGCCCTTCCCACTATCTTTCCTCTGTACCTGACTCCTTTTGTACTCAGTCTCCTTACCAGTGGTTCTGGAACTATCGAGTACAGCATTCCAGAACAGCTGCGAGTGCCCATTTGTAGTAGTCAGGCCTGAGGGCGGGAGGATCCATCCTGTTTGGAGGCCTGGACCATCTGTGCCCCCCCCACCCCCACCCCCCATTGCTATGTGGCTTTGGCTTTTTCCTAGAAATGAGATGGGCAGACCGACTCCTCACTCTTCTCAGTGAATGAATCTGGAAATGAAACCTAAAATTTGAATTGCATTTTGCTTCTTATATTACCATAAAGATTGGTCATATCAGATAGTTTGCTATCCAGTTTAGTGCTCCTAGTTTTATCTGGCTTTTATCTATTTCTTCATTGTTAATACACACAGGAAAGTCAGACAGGATTAGCTCTTCTTTTTTGGTCCTTGTTTTTGATTGAGTAAAATCAAGAAAGGTATGAAATTTGGAAACAGAATCTATGAGTGAATAATCAAATTAAATTTTTAAAAATTTATTCAAAAGAATGTAAAAATAGGAACAGGAGTTTGAGCTCAAAATAACAATTATAGGCTTTAAATATAGAGAAACCCAATTAAAATACAGGAATCACATATTTGAAAACAGCATTTCCAAAATTTCTTGTTCATAAAACCATGTAGAAGACTTTTAAAAATGCACATTCCTGGTCCCACCTTCAAGTATTTTCAGTAAGTCTGGGTTGTTGGCTGGGGCAGGGGGTGGAGAAGGGGGCCAGGTATCAAGGAATGTGCATTTTTAAAAAGTAGCACAGGGGATTTTGATGTAAGTGGTCTGAACACCATATTTTGAGAATCACTTCTCTAGTTGACGCAAGTGTATTTGTTTCCTACTGCTATTATAACAAATTACTACATTAGTGGCTTAAAACAACACAAATTTATTATCCTAAAATTCTGGAGGTCAGAAGTCCAAAATCAGATTTACTAGGCTGATGTCAAACTGTGAGCAGGGCAAGTTCCTTCTGGAAGTTCCAAGGATCTGTTTCCTTGCCTTTTTTAGCTTCTAACAGCCACCTGTGTTCCATTTCTCAGAGCCTCTTCCTCAAATCACTCTAATCTCTTCCTGATCCTCCTGTCTCCCTCTTATGAGGCCCCTTGCGATTACATTTAGGACTCTCCCATACAGTCCAGAATAATCTCCCCATTTTAAGATCCTTCATTTTAATCACATTTGCAAAATCCCTTTTACCATGTAAGGTCACTTATTTACAGGTTCCAGGGATCAGGGCAAGGCCATCCCAGAGGGGCCACTCTTCAGCCTGTCACAGCAAGATAATAGAATTTGAGAACATTCATAATCCTATTCATCTCATTCACTTTGTAGATAGGGAACTGAGCACTAGAGAAGAGAACTGACCGGCTCCACGTCACACAGTGCATTGGTTACAAAGCTAGAGTGGAGCTCAGCACCATCTCCTCCTAAACTCCTGCCCAGTTCGGGCATGCTATTGTGCTGTGTAAGAATCAGAGGTGCATGTAGGTGCCAAGCACCAATTGAATGTAAAAAAATAAAAAGTAAAATGAAAAGTTATGGAGGGCAGTAAGAGGATAGGATAGCTTCTTCACCCATCAGAGTTGGCTTCTAGGAAGGAATAGAAAAAATTAAGAAAGAAGCAGCGTCCAGTTACACAATTCCTGCTTTGTTTATAACACTTTCTTTAGAAAGGTATTTAGCATATTCCCTCAAACTCACATGTGCTTGTTAAACAAACAAAATTAACTTCCATGACTGAACTCTCTTTTTAAGTAAGGATTTATTGGTCCAAAATACTAGCCAAAAGAAGACAGGTCTTGGGACATAGACTCTAAATCACCAGGAACATGTCTGGGTAGAAAAGACAGTGTCCACAGTCCCAGAGTTTTGCAAGCATTTTTGGACATCAAGTGCGGAGACGGGGAAGAAAGTGGTAGTCTGAAAGAGTTGTCACTAGCTATAGGCAAAGGGGTGGGAGAAAGTAAAGCGTGACCGACATGAAGAATGTTCGCTCCTGTGGATTGGCTGTGGGCAACAGTCTGGAAAGCCCATGTGCAAACAAGCTGAGGCTCCTGGAGTTAGATGGTGCCTGTGAAATAACCTGTGGAAATAGCCACCTGAAGTTAACCCGAAGTTCCTACAGGCCATAGAGGGAATGTGAGCAGTCATTAACAGGCTAGCAGTTCTCTTGCTCTCACTTTCCAGCCTCTGTAATTTAATTTAGAACATCTCAGAATTTTTTCCTTCTCATGCTGTATTCCATTTATTCCAACAACCATTTTCTGAATTTTAAGGAACCGTCTGAGAATCTTTTTCCTTCTGGTTCTCTGTTTTCCTAGAGAATGAAGAGAAGGGAGGGGAGGAGGCTAAGCAACTTGGCTGCCCTAGCCTTTTGGCTGCCGGACTGGGAGGTCTCAGGTGCCACAGAGACCTCCTGTGATGGCCATTTTGACCAAGCAGTATGACTGCCAAGAGATTCGCTTGGGTCAGTCACATTCACAGTGCTGGGTGCCTAGACAAGGCTTAGGAAAATGTGAAGTTGGAGAGGACAGAGAGGGAAGGGTTTTTTCCTCCTAGCTCTTGAAAAAGTATGACACTTCCTTTTTAAAGTCTGTAACTCTGAGTTGTATGTTTATTTTGATAGAATGATGCTTGAGCCTTTTAAGTTGGTAAGACATTAAGTTCTTCATCACGTCATTTTTCTATCAGATGGTTTTGTGGTTTATTGATAATGTCTAAATTTCAGTGCTGGGCACAGCTCATTCTACAAAACTAATTGAAAGGGCTGGCATTTCCTCAATTAGACAGTGGTTAAGTACATACAAAAAGAGGGTTTGTTATGGAGTTGCTGTCTGAGCTCCAGCAGAACAAACTGAGAATGTTGCCAGCCACCCACTTCAGAACTCAGTGCAAGTGAAGTAATGGCTTGGAGGCTGTTTATTCCATTTTCCTGATAGCCAGCCAGTCACTGGTCTTCAGGGAGTCAGGACTGAAAGGCTATGCGTGAGATGAATATAAAACCCCATATAAGAGAGTCAGTAGTCAAAGCTTTGGAGACGTAGGCTGAATGTCCTTGAGGTTATTCTGTCTAGGAACTGCCACCATGTGGTTTGCAGCATCATTTGCCAAGGGAATGTGTGTTTGCTTAAATGATTTAAGATATAAGAAATAATTTCCTCTTCTTATTTAAAAATGGTCCAGGTGGCCGAAGAACATCACTCTTTGGCCCTACAGAGGAAGTGCATGCTGACCTGGTTCCAGTGTAGTCAGGAGAGCCTGGCTAGGAAGACGGCCCAGGCTGATCAATGTTATTCCCAGGCATTGCTTAGGAGAGTCATCCGGAGCTGGCTGCAGGTAAGGCCACAGGGAAGGGAGCTTTAAATACATGTCTCTACTCAATCCTGAGTAAGAAAATTAGGTGCAATCCAGAATGTCCAGTCATCATGGTTTTTCAAGAACAAAAGAGTCAGTCTAATTCATTGCTTTGAACTGAATGTGAAAATATCAAGTCAGCTTTTTGTTAGTATAAATGTTAAGCATGTTTCTGTTCACAGTGTTCATCTCTATAAATTATAATGTTTCATTGTAATAGGTGGTTTTGTGTGTGTGGTTTTTAATCCTCTCCCGAGGATATTTTGTCCACTGCTTTTCAGAGAGTTAAAGGGCGAGAGAGAGAAACATGGATGTGAGAGACATCAATCGGTTGCCTCCCAAACACACCCCAACCGGGGCTGGGGATAGAGTCTGCAACCGAGGCTGGAGTTGAACCCAGGACCCTTCAGTCTGCTCTAACCCCTAAGCCAAACCGGCTGGGGCTCAGCTTTTGATTTTATACTCGTTTCTTATCCCATAATTGCTCAAGGGATTTTATTAGAAACCGACCCCCTCAATCTTGTAACTGTTTCTATCCCTCCGGTTCCACTGTTATTTCCTTAATACGGTACAGAGGCTATTTTCCTGGCTGCCCTGTTTTCTCTTTATGCCTCCAGTGTCCTTTGCTCCTTTGTCTTATGTGTGTTTCAATTCTCTTTTGTACTGTTGACTTGCTCTCTGATTCTTTGTGACATTATTGGACTTATTTCTGTTCCTTTCCTCATCCCCAGTACCAGACTGACCTGGAGGAAGAAGTACAAAAACTGTGTATACATTTTCTTCAAAGGAAGATTTTCAGGGCCTGGTTTAACATGGTCAGGGAGGCCCAGATCGATTCTCAGAGCAAGCACAGGACTGCAGTGGAGCATAATGACAGGTGAGGCTTTGATCTCTGAGGAAAGTCACTCACTGACTACACAATTGCCCTGCAATATACTCTGTGCCTGGAACATGTCCGGAAAGATGAGGTGGAGGCTAGGAGGGCCGGGCGTTCAGTGATTCCAGGCAGAGGTGAGGGTTCCACCTCGCCCACTGCCTGTGTGGGTGAAAGCAAGATTAAACCCCCTAGAACTCCAGGGTTCCCGTCTTTAAAATGCGGAGGATGCCTGCCTTCTCTGCCTCACAGGGACTGGCAGGAGAGTAAGATTATGAGAAACACATGAAACACACTTGTGCAAATTTATGTATTCTTTATGTCACGTAGGTTTGTAAGTTCAATTTTTTAACGTTATTGTGAACTATAACCATGCAAGTACAGCTTAACGAGTTACTATAAAGGGAACACCCATGTCACCACCACTGAGGCCAAGGAGTAGGACATTGCTGGCCCCCCGGCGTGCTTACTGGCTTATTCCCAAAGGCCCAGCCCTTCCCTGCTAAAGGTAAACTACCTTGAGGTTTATAAGGAGCATTTCCTTGCTGTTTATTTTTTCCTTCACTTTTGCCTTCTAAGCATGCAGCCTTCAAGTCTATAGTTTGGTTTAGCCTGGTTTGAAACTTTATAGAAGTCAAATCATACCGTAAGCCATATTAATACTTATACTACAGTGACGTCTTATTTAATAATACTGCTTGGGGAATAAGGTACTCGATATGTTTCCTTTTTTGGTGCCTGGGTGTCTGTCACTCCCTGTGAGCACAGTGTGGGCGGCGCCTCCAGGTCCCGCCCTGTGGGGACCACTGGGTAGGCATCGGAGTGCCACCTTCTCAGAGGCTCGCCTGCCCGCCCAAGGGGGAGTAGAAAGAACTGGCGGTCACTCCCATCCACTTTTCCTGCTTTATTTTCTTTACAGCATTTCTTAGTCTGAATGCCAGTTGTGATTTCTATACCTTTTTAAATGTGTTTTTCTCACGTAAGGATTATTCTTACAGTTTTGATTGTATTTCGGGTGGAAAGTATTTCACGTTTTTCCTTTTTATTCTTAAAGGAGGATTCTCCGGGTCATGTTGCAGACGTGGAAGGAGTTTGCAGAGTGTATGAAAGAGGAGAGAGGAAGAGAAGAAAGGCGAGAGCAGCTCCGCAGGAAGGTAGCTGAGATCCTTCCAGACTTCCAGGTGCTGGCTCCACCGTGACTCCCGCTTGTCGCTGCGGTCAGGTACCTGGCTTCTGTCAGGTAAGGGGCCGTGGTGTGCAGCGAACCAAGCCAGCGCCGTGCCTAGGAGGGGAATGTCCGTGGTCCATAAGATGTGTTATCGCCACCTGCCCACATGTACCTGCCTCTACCTGGCTGCGTTCTGTCAGGTACTTCTTGGATCAAAGGACTTATTTTTGAGTTTGTACTTCCTCCTTTTATTTCTCTTGGATTGCTAATCAGTTCACTAAAGCATTTATCACAGCAGGATCATCCACAGGAACTGTTCCTGTTCTACTGCTCAAATGCATCGTATATATTTTTAGCATCATAAACTTTAAAAAGGACGTGTTTGCTTGTCTGAGCTTGTGGAGGAAAATGTGTCCTTATAGCTCAACGTGATTTGTTGACAACTGTAACTTTAATCAAATATAAATTAAAAGTAGTGAGCACTTAGAAAAGGAGTCATACGTGGCCAGGCATCAGCAACAGGCATTCTGCCAGACCCGTCCTTTTTGCCTGTCCCTAATGGAAAACCACAGAATCACAAGGTATTCTTTGCAGCTGCTGTAAAGGGTAACAGCATATCCTAATTTCAGAGAAATTGGGGCACCAAAGATACTTTTCTTTAGTGCACCTTGATAAGCAGGACTGGAAGTCCAGCAATTTGTTAAAATGTCTGTTCATACTCCCAGTTGCAGCTTCTAAATAACACTTGATCTGGCTCCTAGACCTCAGCTCAGTTTGATCTATACATCAAGATATTTATCTTGAATTCAAAGAATGTTTTAATTTTAGGGTACTAAAGACTATAAAGACGGTCCCTTCCATGAACTGAATTATCTGCTAGATATTTTTTCATTACAAAGCATGTTTATACAACAAATTCTAGTAGTAGATAAATGCACATAGTAAAATGAGAAAGCCCCTTGCAGCCCTAAGGTAACTGTTGTTTGGTAAATTGAAAATATTGAGCTGGTTAAGTGAAATTCTTTGTGTTCAATAAATTCTGTTATCGTGTCTTCTTCCTAGAAGGGACATCTAGCTCGAGCCGTACCACCTGCAAGTGACTTCTGTACTTTTCTATGGAAGATGTGATTTACTCAACTATGACAAAACACCCTAAATTGAACTTTATTTCTTCTACAGTATCTCTGTCCCCACAATTACCTGAAAACTTTTTAAGACTAATGGCCACTAAATAAAATGGGACTAGAAGTAATTCATATATAAATCTCTTTCCATATAAATCACTGTTTATTCTTAACTGTAGTAGTTATAGAATGTTGGCTGATATTAGCACCCAGAAATCAAATACCGATTTTATTTGAATACCAAGCCTGTACGTAAGGGTGAATCTCTTAAGTAAACATTCCAGGGGCCTGAATAAACCCAGAGAGCTTAAGTTTTCTCTCTTAAGCTTTCTTTTATTTTTATTTCACCTCAAGCATTATTTAGAAATTGAGTCGTTAGCAGCCCATATTCTGATTGAGCCAGCAAGAACTTTTTACCTACTTATTATAGAATCTTCTAAGGAAAAAACTTAGTAAATGAGCTACATCTCTTGCTGGGCTTTTTTTTTTTTTTAATCCAAGGGCATGTTTTATTGATTTTAGAGAGAGAGGAAGGGAGAGGGAGAAAGACTGAAACATCGACATGAGAGAGAAACATCGATCAGTTGCCTCCCGTACGCACCCCAACTGGGGATAGAACCCGAAACCTGGGTATGTGCCCTGACCAGGAATCAAACCTGCAACCTTTTGGTGTGTGGAATGACAATCCAACCAACTGAGCCACACCGGCCAGGGGCTTGCTGGGCTACCTTAAAGATATGATTTGCAATTTTACTGCTAACAAAATGCCCAATAAGCAGTACCCCTGGCCTACAAAACTGGAAAAGTAACTACCAAGAATATGATAGTTTAAGGTCCAGAGGCTGGGGACATCTAGGTCACCAGAGACACCCAGCTACAATGCAGGCTTTTCTTAAAAGCAAAAAGTTCAGGAGACACACCAAGAAACACCAACTAGTTTCCTTAAATAAAGCACTTTATTTTCCATTTAAATAGCTTGGTCACAGTACATTATTTTACATAAATGGCAGTAATTTTTAAAATCTCCATTTGAAAGGCCTTGTGTCTGGCTGAGTCTGAGGTGATAAGAAGATATGAATACAAGTATGAAAACAGTGCAAAATGTTTAGCCCACAGCTTCCAGAGTTGGCCTCAGAAATCCTTTAATGTTGCTGGGCCAGTTACATTAAATATTCAGTTTAATATTAAATAAACATTCCTGGGTTTCCTTTAGTCAATAACATCAGACCCAGAAACGTAATCAAATGAAAAGGCTCAAAAACCCTAACAACTCAAACCATCAAATCACCCAGACCACAGGCTCACAAGTTGAGCTTCGTGCAAATTCTAGAACATGACATCTTGTCAGTGACGCCACCTGAAAAAATAGGGATTTTAGTCGCATCAATGACTCAAGCAGATCTGGTTTTCAAGCTCTGCCTTTAAAGCATGAATTTCCTAGAAGTGGAAGGTGCCATTGGGAAGGCTAGAGTAGTAATAAGTCACAAGCCCAAATCGGAAACAGCCACAACCTCTAGGAAATCTGTCTTCATTCAGCCTTCAGTCTTTGGCCTGCTGCTGATACTAGAGTGAGACACTCATTGCCCAGGTAGTAGGGCTACCTGTCCATTAGCAACAGGATCACATTTACCTGATTGTACAGAAAGTTTGTATTAGTCACAGCAAACATTTACAGGAACATGCTGAATTTTCCTCAGCACTAAGTCAAGCACAGCTCTCCTCACCCTGCATCACCTCTACAATGTTTAATATAAAATAGCACGCTTGTCAAGCTGACAAGAAAACCAGACGCCAAGCAGGTGCCTCAAGCAAAAGTGTCATCCATTGCTTATTTGAGGAAATTCTTTTAAAATGCAGGGCATCCAAATATGGCTAAAATAAAGTTAAGTCATATAAACCTGTTTATCTAGGTTAAAGAGATCCTTAAACCTGACAAAACATTCATTTTTAAACATCCTGGTTAAAACTGGGCTTCTGTGTTACATTTTTGCTTACATTAGTTGAGTTTTATAGTAAAAATCTAATGGAAATATAGTCTATTAAGCAGATGGTCAGTATTACAGAGAACCTTGGTTTTTCTGGCAGTGGAAGATTCTAGTATAGAAAATTTTCTCCTGCTAAAAATATTCAAAGTACCAAGGACTATTGCATAAGAGAAAGTTTGTAGCAGTCTTTCTGCTAGGCAGATGGTGCAGTGGAAGACGATGATTACTTCATTCACCGAAGGAAAACACTGCTTGGATAGCACAGGTTGCCGTCTGCTACACACAGATGCTCAGGTGAGACAAGCAGCAGTGTCCCCAAACACACTCAAGCTTCAGAGAGACCTGCCCAAGAGGCATTAAAGGTCATTTCATTCCAGGTGGGCCCAGCTGTAACCACAGAGTACTCTGGGGTGGCATAAGAAACATTTTAGATACTGAAGGATTTTCTCCTTTCATGCAATTCTTATCCTTAACTATTTCTCCACTGAATCTCTCAAATGGGCCCATTTCTCTTCCCCAGGAATAGTACTCCTGGCATGACAGTAATACTGATTGGAATACAACAGATCATTTATTAAGCTCCACATCGAGTATGTTTATTAACAGAGGCTGAGGATGTGGGGGGAGAAGAGGGGACCCACTTTGTTGGGGGGTGACTTACTCCTATGGCCAAGAGACTGCTGGTATGCAGGTTTGCAGGGCAGTACCCCATGGCCACCACCACGAATGTTTTCTCTGGGGCTCCAAGAGGCTTTGCCCTTTAAGGGGCAAAATCCCTTCAATAGTTTCAGAGTGTAAAAGTCTAGGCATGTAGGCCAAGGATGTCCCAAAGCCCACAGAGCACTGCTCATGGAGAGCTGCTTGGTTGCCCTCCTTTTGGTATAGATACTTCAGTAGACTTTTACCTCCCACGAAACCACTGAGCTTTTCAAAGGTTTGGGCTTTCTTCTGTAAACTGCCAATCATGAAGTTCTCAAGGAACCTGAAACAAGCCTCTTAATTCCAATAAGCCAGAACAATATACGAGGAGTCCTTTTCCAAGTGAGGGACACTGAGTTGCCCCATCCAGGTGACGCTACTAGGGTTATGTGTTTATAAAGTTGGGGGTCATTGCTAATTCTCCCAAATAACTGGCCTTTTCGGTGCAACTCATCTTCATCATTTCATTTTGATTGATTTTACTGATTTCAGAGAGAGGAAGGGAAAGAGAGAGAAACATCAATAATGAGTCATTGATCAGCTGCCTCCTGCACACACCCCTACTGGGGATCGAGCCCACAATCCGGGCATGTGCCCTGACCGGGAACTGCACCTTGACCTCCTGTGTCCACTGAGCCACACTGGCCCGGCATATTTTGATTGTTTTTAAAGATATGGCAAGAGGCTAAAATTACTAACTATACTAACTTTTCTATGAATGTTATTATCAGTTGCTGGACAATCAGAGTTGGCTATCCATCTGGCATTCAAAAGACTGCAACTAGAGACTTCTGGCCTCATGTGCTGTCCTTGACATTACTACTGTCTCTCTTATCTCAAACCTACACAGAAGGAATTAGTTACATCAGATCCAGTGATAATTCCAAATGAATGCTTGACTCTGCCCAGGGAGAATGCATCACTGTAGAAACCACAGCCTCTGCTAACATCCCCAGACTTGCTGTTTGGCTCGTCCCAGGGGAATATGGAGCCATCATTTGTTAACCTGCCTCTGGGGAGAGCGAGGACAAGCTAAGGACAGCCTCCATCCATGGCAGGACCAGGGGCGGTGCTAGCTGCGCAGGGCAGAGTCGCAGGAAGTAGCCCTATTTCCTTTCAACATTTATAAACCTCTTGTTACAGCAGCATGCACAGAAAGACTGAACAACCTAGCAATATCTTCCCTATATTGAGCTATAAGCTAAGGCGAATTTAAGGAATCATGAATTACTTTTGGGATTGAAAAAGGAAAAAAAAAACTTGACTTGGGGTGGTGAACACACAATATGCTATACAGATGATGTATTATAGAGTTGTATACCTGAAACCTATATATTTTATTAAGCAATGTCACCCCAATAAATTCAATTTAAAAATTACAGGTACAAAACCAAATATTTCAAGATTTTTTTTCCCCATCTGAAATTGCCTCATCTTAGTTCTGTGGAAGAATAGACCCATTATACATACATATTTAATTCTTTATACATTTTCAGTTTTGAGATATCATTAAAGAAACAACTTGGTATTTTAGGAAGAACAAGGAAAGAACAGTAGTCCATTAATTAGTGGAAACCACATATACCCTGTTTTTCTCTCCTGGTGAGATACTGTTATCTAAGGAAAGGTGAATGACAAGTAATGTGCAAGTTAAGAGGAAGATGTCAGTCAACCCTCAAAAAGAGTCTGTGCCAGAATAATGTGAATGCTGGAAGACGGATTATTGCAACTTAGTGCTAAAGCTGACAGCATTCGAATCACACAAACAAAAAATCGAGCCCTTGATATTAACCAGCCACCCTACCCAGGAAGAGGGTAAGGCGTTCCCTGTAGGCTTGTCTGTCTGCCTCTTCCAGCCATCGTCACAGCGTGGCTAGCACCTTGCCAGGTGAGACGTGGAAAGAGGAAGAAACACTAATGCCTACTGGAGTTATTTAGAGTAAATCTAAACAATAAATACCTAAGAAATAAGATACACATAGGAACTCATCACCCAAACTCACAACCACTGTACATTACACCAGCGATAATTATCTTCATAACTGGTATCAACTCTCCTTTCAAGACCAGGTGACACTGTAAATCCACCTGGTCATTGACTACCCCATCTGAGTAGTTACTGTCTAATGCTTCCAAAAGAGAAATTCCCGTAACTGTACAGCACGGCATTTGGGATCTTCTTTTGCACTCTGAAATGCCTAAAAAGAGATTAATAATATTGGCTTCAATATTCTGACCTACAAACATTTCTTTCAGCCAGGGATTTTCCTAGTAATACTTCATGCCTCCCTGATGCTTTAATTTCCAGTGCTTTTCACACACCTCACCCCTCGGGTGACCCTCACGGTCGCTCTGTGAGGAATCCAGGGCAGGCGTCGGGACCCCACCTTACAGATGAACCTGAGACTCGGGGAAGTGACTCGACGAGGGGTCACATGGCTATTGGGAATCAAAAGAGGGACTAGAAACTATCCTAACCCAGACTCTTCCTCCCACACTAAGGGATGGGGATTGCTTCTATCAATTTGTGCATTAGCAATCCACATGCTTTTCAACTTTCGGTGACTGAGTCAGTTCACACAGTGACTGGAAAGGATTGGCTCTACTTTTACTGCTTCGATATAAAAACCTCTTAAGTTGTGAAGTCAGAAAAATTCATTTCTCCAGTCCAGTCTCTAAACCTGAGCATAGCCCTATAATGCCTTTAAGAAAATCGGGATAAAAGCAAACACCCCGCATGGACACCGGAGTGTAGGATGGAGGGAAGCAGAGGGAGGCGCCGCCCCTCGCGGATCCGCATGGAAGGCACTTCAGACAATGTCCTCGGCGGGGTGCTGGAACGGGGCAGTGCCCAGGGTGGAGAACTGGTGCCAGTTCCGCAGGAAGCCCCTATTGTACTGGCCTGTGTCCACGATGAGCCCACAGAGGAGCCGGCGCCCCGTCTTCTGTCGAAGGGCCTGCTGCACTTCCCTCTCGGTCACGTTGTAGCTGATGTTTATCAGCTGGATCAGGAAGATGTAGGCCATGCCCGCTGTGATGATCACAGAGTACCACACGCACGTGAAGGACAGAGCCGAGCTGGGGAAGGGAATGGGCGGGTCAGGGCTGCCAGTTTTTCACATTCAGAAAGCTGTCCCTGTTTTCACATTTTACACATGTAGTACTTATTACCAAGGGCTTGGGCACCTTCCTCAGTCATCCCACTGGAAGATACTCTTCTATCCTCAGAACGCCAATAACTGCTTAAATGATGACTATTAATGGACATGTTCTGTTTCAGTTTTTAATTATCAGTGCCCCTTTTTCCTGCATTTTACTAGAATAGCAAGGACTGTTTTCTGCATTTTGTATCCCCCACACAACCAACACAGTGCCTGACATAATAAGGCTCAAAATCTGTTTGTTGAATGAATAACTCCTAACTTGTTCTTAACTCAAGAGAAACGGAAGGCACCACAAGATGGCTATAAACACCCTCAAGGAAGCTGTGGGTGGGAAGGTTCTTAATTTCCATTCTTTTCCAGTCCAATGCTGCTGAACAAATACAGAGACAATGCCCAACACCAGCACACTTCAAATTCTGCTTCCTAAAGCCAAACAGCAACACAGGACGAGAAAGCTTTCAGCACATTAATAAAACTGTGAGGAGAGGCTACCATCAATGTCTGCCAACCGATTATTTTCATTCAGACATCTGCAAATGAGTTAGGTGGATTCTCCTGTACAGAGCAGGGAGGGCCAATGGCAGGACTATTTTATTTAAGTGGCTCCCAGAAAATCGACAGAACTCGTGCTTTGTAACATACAAACATGCTCTGCTTTAGGACATTTGTCACACCTACTATGAATAGTTTACTGAAGAATTTCACAACCTACTAAGACTCTCAACAAGGGGGAAAAAGGAACTTATTACCCCCCGAGGAGGATGACAAATCTGTTCTAATAAAGCCCATAAATATCTAGACCTATAATGGCAATGGGGAGGTGTGCCCATGGACTAATATAAACAAACACCTGCACAGGGGCACTATGTAGATAAAGCAGGGATTGTTCTGAAAACAAAGAACATTGGGCGGTGGGGGGGAGCCTGTGTCTTTCAGGGGAGGGAGTGGCTCGGGCCAAAGCTGAAAAATCTCAGCTTCTTCCAAAGCCTGGAAATCTTTATAATCTAGAAATGTGCCCAAATGAACAAAGCTGAAGGAAATTTTGACCTAGATACCTCAGTGATCGTGAGCAGTAATTCAAAAAAAAAAAAAAGTAGAACAGGATAAACCGACAGAGGTTAAACAGAAAAGGAAGGTCCTAGAGACTGTAGGCACACTACAAAAGGACGCAAGGCAGCAAATTAAGACTGGGCTAAAAAGCACCAGAAAGCGGCAATAAATGAATTCGCTGACTGTGACAAAGTGGACCACAGACATACCCTGGGACTGCTAGTTAGTTTGTTCTAGTTTCATTGTCACTTGCTTGGGGATGTGAGCAGTCATTTGACCCTGGAAGTCCCTGATTAAGCAGGTTGGCCCTACTTATACAGTATTAGTTCCTCACTTTTTAAGGGCCAATAATCCTTTAGATATCACCCTAGAAAAGTGTACCTGCCCACTGCACAATTTTGTTGGCAATTTCAGGGATGCCTAAAAGCCCCATAACCTGTCCTAACCTAGTAGCAAATCACAGCCCCTTATAGTAATGGCAACATCCCTTCCCTCCTCCTGGTATCCGCATCTCACCTGTAATCTGCATAAACTCCAGGACAATAGAAGAGGGCTGTGAAGACACTTCTATCTCTACAAATGGTGTCCAAGGTCAGCGTGATCCCATACACCGAGGTGAGCAAGAAGACGGACAGGGCAAGTATAAATGCTTGATGATTTGATTCTCCGACACAGCTATTTATCCTCAAAACAGCAAAAGCAAACACATTTTAAAAAGTTCTCTATATAACTCAGATAGTAAACAAAAAAGTTTTAAAAACAGGAATACTGTGAATTTCAGTGATTAAAAAATTTTATTTTTCATTTTTAGGGAATTAAAAACTTGTCCACTGAGAGATGTGGACAAGTCTCTGCTCTTTACAAAATGAAATTATATCATTAGTTTAAGCAAAACCTAGCTAACAAATCTTTCTAAATATTAGTAATTGAAGTGTTTACCCAACTATGAAGAGAGTTAATACTGTAATCACCACGATTCGGAAAGGGTGATAGCAGTTATGAAAACTTAAACACGCTGCAACAGAAGTGTTCCACAGGCCCAGGCCGGGTAGCTCAGTTGGTTGGCATGTTGTCACCGATGCACCGAGGTCGTGGGTTTGATCCCCAGTCGGCACATACAAGAACCAACCAATGAATGCATAAATCAGTGGGACAACAAATCAATGTTTCTCTCTCCCCTTCTCTCGAAAAAAAAAAAAAAATCAAGCATCCAAAAATATATGTTAAAAAATATATTAAGAAGAAGATATGATTAGAAACATGGTGTGGGATGGAGAATAACTTGGTGATATGCAAATTACTTGTCAGGTAAAAAGAGTTCGCATCACAGCCATTTGAAGAACATATAGGGCAGGATGTACAGGGACACTGGGATGCCCCAGTAGGTAGGATCTTCTTTTGGGTGAGACTGTCAGGCCTTCTGCAAACCAGCACTTATAAATGGGCCATGCACTCAGAGAGAGAGAGAAAGAGAGAACGGGG